CCCCGCCTCCCAGGCAGCGCCAATTTGTGGCGGCTCTAGGGTGTGGAAGCAGCCTCTTGTCCTTTCGCTTTAGAGCAGCTCCTAGCTTTAATTGGAGGTGGGAGGTGATTGAGTCCCTATTGGATGTTATGACTTAAATTCAGAGGTCTCCCTTAACTCAGATATAATGATTCAGAGCAGAGGGTGGCGGTATCAGCATCCAACTGAGCGCTTGTCCCAAGCTTGGTGAGGTCCTGAGCGGTTTACCCGCGATAACACATTTAATTAATCTTCACTGTTACCATAAGGTTGCAAACGCTGTTTTCATCACATTTTGTTTTTAACGTAAGGGAAGAAAAGTGAGATACAGTGGGGTTTAGTAACTTGGGTCACGGAGCAAGTGGCAGAACTCCTTTGGAGCTCGCGCTTCTCTCTTCTGGGTACAATCTGCGTGACTGTCACTGTTATAGATACATTAGCTTAATTCATTAAAGACGGTTAGGATCTTAACTTTTGCATTGTTGTACAGGGACTAATTTTAAATTATTTCTATTAAGCTTTTTAGAGATTGGAGATGTTGCCTGGAATTGGATGTGCGTTTAAAATGTCTCAAGGTGTTGTAGAAACATGGAATGAAAAAAAAGTAGAGGTGGCTGCCTGAGCCTAATACGAGTGATGGGGGTACAGAATTTACACATGTTTTTCCTTGGCTTTTATAGGGTTTGTCTTCCCATTCACTTCTCTACCACGGATCCAAATATGATTTTGCATTAGCCGATAACTACTTTTTTATTCTTCAGAATATGGTTGTGACTGTCCTGTATAACAATCTATTTATACTTATTTAAAAGAACCATTTTGTAATAGACAGAACAGTGAATTCGAGCACTTGAAAAATAAATGCTAATCCTTTTTTATTTGCTTTAAGTTTTATAGTAAATTTAGAAAGTACAAATAAAAAACGTTTAGGTGGTTGGTTCTATGCTTTGATGATTTTCACAAATTATAACCAAAATCATTAAGATGTTTCACAATTAGAACATTTAATTTCTCTTAACATAAATTTATTGAAATGGAATGAAAACGGCTTTAGTCATTATTTTCTTCCCTTGTATTTGCTTTTGGCAGCAATTAGATAAGATTTAAAATGTGACACTTTTTTTAATTTAGAAATATTTCTTCACAGCTCTCAGGAAATAATTGTAAATGAAATTGTGTGTGTGAAGACTTTTGGATTAAAGACATTAGAAAAATTCAATAAATTTGCTAAGTATCATTTAAGAACAAGGCACAGTTAATCTAAAATGTTAGATTCGAAAGAGTAGATTGAAAGGTGAATTATATAATGCATTCTCAATAAGTACACATAAATTTATGCTATCTAAGGAATTTCCTATTAGCCAGGATAATTGAAGAAGAAAAATAGCATACTTTCTAAAATATTTTTGAGAAAATTATCTCAAGTTAAACTTTTTTAAAATCTACATTAAATGATCAGTTTAACAATTTTGATATTATTGGTCAAAAAGCATATTCTCTCCACTGATATGGCAAATAAAGTTGTGGGTTATGGATACTGAGAATAGTGAATATTTCTTAAACATATCAGAAAATTTGTGATTTATCTGGAGTTTATGCATTTGTAGATTGATCTGGATACTATTGATGTCAGCAACCTCAACAGGCAGTTTTTGTTTCAAAAGAAGCATGTTGGAAGATCAAAGGCCCAGGTAACTGTAGATTTCTCATACCATTTCTATTTATTCATTTATAATTCTGCCTTTTAATGGGTCTTCTATCTATGGTATCGGGTTATTGTGGACTCTAGTAGAAGAAAGAATATGGCAGAAGCCATCTCTAGCTGAGGGATTGTGAAGAATATGTTGAGTAAAGGAGTAAAGACACCCTTTTTTGATTTATAGCGGAAAGGGAAGTGTACCCAAACCTGTAAGTGGTGTCCCTTTCTTATTTAAATTTCTGATTGTTCGCTTAAGGATGAATGTAGTAGTGTTCCTACTTTCTCTGCAGCCTGGCTGCTCCTATATTTGGGTGCTAGAGAAGCTACATCCTGTGCTGTTGGCCCTTTTAAAAGAAGACAGCCTCCCCTGAGGTTCTAGTCACCCTGCCTTTGTTTAGTTCCTCTGATGTTCCATTTTGATTCAAGGTCTTAAAACATCTTTTCCCTTTGCCTTTTACCCTAGCCCTTTTGGCAAAAATCCCATGCTTTTCTGTGTTTGGCTCCCTTCTCTAGGGGTACTTTCTTAAACCTCTTAGACTAACTAAATCACATCTTCCCCCTCTTAAGAACCTCTACTTTTTCTCTATCATTTATCGTAGTTTGTAGTTATATTTACATAGATGGTTGTTTGATTAATGTCATTGGCTCACCAAGTGCCTTGTACAGATCTCAGTATATAGATGTTCAGTGTATAGTAAATGAATGAATGACTCTTAGTTATTCTATTCTATGTTTTTGCTGAAGCTTGCCATTCTTGTAAAGTGTATATGGGAGTGTGGTGGATCCTGTTATTTTATAAATATGTGTATTTAGTTTTAATAAATATATTTTGTCACATTTTAACATTTTAGTTTATAATATGAATAAGATACTATTTAAGTAGATGAAACAACACTATTGTCTGCCATAAATAGATTTCAAATGCAGATAGAAATGTAGTAATTTAGTAAATTGGTAATTTGATGTTTTGTTTTTTCAGGTCGCCAAAGAAAGTGTACTGCAGTTTTACCCGAAAGCAAATATCATAGCCTACCATGACAGCATCATGAAGTATGCTCTAATTATTACGTTGCAAAATTATTTATTGTGAACTTTTAATTAAATTTTTAAAGTATAAGGTATTTTTATTAGCCAAATATATGTGTTTGAAATCACTCTGCTTTTTTAAGATGATTTTTCTATAACAATTAAAACGTAAAAGTTTGTGCCCACGTAAGTCAAGTGGCCTTCTTGTAAACAGTTTATATATATGAGTTTAATGATTTGGCTAAGAGGTGAGATATTTTAATACTTCTAATAAATGTTACTTGGGAACTTAATAAAGGATCTATATTCTTGTTTTAAATAAAGATAATCTAAACTATGAAAATCTTTATATGTGATGATTCAGGTTTTGCTAAATATAGTGCTCTCATTATCATTGATTGCACCTGTGGTCTTTTTCAGTTTAAAATAATTTAAATAATTTGTTTATTTAGGACTGTGACTTCTGTAATATCTGTGGTCTTTTTCAGTTTAAAAGGTTCCTTCCTAAAATAATTTGTTTATTTAGGACTATGACTTCTGTAATATAACATGGAGAATTGTGATGGGGCATTAGTTTTGACAGTATATAAATATGCTCTGATCTCAGTAAAGATAAAGTAAATATATAATTTTGCAGGTGTTAGGGCAAAGGGCCTCATTATCCTTTATCTTTAGTTGTTATCTAGCTCACAAGTAATTGTCTTATACTTTCTCAGAGAATTTGTATCTCCAGGTTTTTTATCTCTAGATGTTTTCTCTGCAACCCTGCCTATAGCCCTATCATCACCCCCTTACCCTGTGTTGCTTTCCCAGTGTTGCTAAAAGCAGGGACTCTAGGGGCCTGAACCCTGCCTGATCCTAACCATGTGAGGTGAAGCCAAAGGCCAGGCAGATCCTGGGAATGTGTTCTTTGTACGTTCCCAGGCACTTGCTGCCCAGAGAAGGCCTGGTGGGACTAGTAAAGTCATGCCATCTTCTAATTTGAGATCCTGCTCTTGTGCCCTAGGTGGGTGGCCAGAAAGGATGTGTAGCCATTCAAAGGGATTAGGAGGAAGTAGTTTCTTTAAAATTTAAAAATCTACTTTAAAATCTGGTGTTTAGAAAAAGTCAAACCTATCTAAGTGGTAGAGGCCCCTAATTTAGCAGTTATTTTTGTATTATTATTTATGCTTTTTTAGGACCCTGTAGTGTACTGTGAAGATCATGTGTAAGGTCAATTGTTTTGGTGACCTTTTTTTGTTTTGCTTCGTAGCCCTGACTATAATGTGGAATTTTTTCGACAATTTATATTGGTTATGAATGCTTTAGATAACAGAGGTGAGATTATTTTAATATTCTTAATTTGTAAGTATTTCCCTTTCCCCATAACAAGGCTGTTTACACATTTAGTATTAATCAAAGTATTTTCTTATGAATTAGAACTTAAAGGCCTAAAGGGAAGTAAGATTAGGTTTAAGTCTTGCTAAATGATTATAATTTTAACTGGTCTGTTTCCAAGTAGGAATTTAGCTATCATATACTCTGTCAATATACCAAAAGGTGTGAATATAAGGGAACTTAAAATACTAAAGACTGACTACATAGATTGTTTGCATAGGTGTTTGTTTCAGGTTATCCCAGCACATAAATATTGTCACTTCCTTCATATATGTGGAAACCTAAGAAATATCAATGTTAGATTTTACCTACGACCAATTAAGTCAGACTCTGAATGGGGCCACATTTCTTCAAAGTTCCTCAGATAATTCTGAAGTACAGTCAGGGCTAAAAAACCACTGTTTTGAGAATGAGACAACAGGATGTTAAAGTTAATATAGAAGCCATAGCTCTTGAATTATTTTAAGTATATTTTATGACATAAGATATCAGACTGGATTCTATTAAATGTACACATTATAAATCATTTAAGCTTTTCAAAATATGGGATGATATTTCATATAATCCAGCGTTGTGTAGCTAGTCATTGTTAACAAGTCTGTGTGCCTAGAGGGTGGGATGAAAATACTTATTTTCCTGGCTTGTAATTACTTCCACAGGTAAAAGTATATTTGTCAAGTGAGTTTGTAACAGGTTTGGGCTAGAAATACCGAAAGAAAAAATCAAACAAATGAGCATGAGAAAAGGTCAGAATGACTCTTTTAAGTGGACTCATCTTTCCCCTAGCCTTAAACTGTCTTAATAGTTCCAAGTTAATAGTCCACATTCTCCTAAATATCCATGTCTTACCTGATAATTATATTAGAATAATAGCAAGTTAAGGACTCGGAGCACATTGAAGCAGTGTTTTTGCCAAAGTTAATAGATTAGGCACAACGAAAGAAGAAGAAGCCACTTTGGAATTTAAAGATTATATATGAGGGTGCTTTTCCTGGAGTAAATTTGTGGCATATATTTGAAATTTTGCTAGTGAATGTTTCTTAAATGTCTGTAACAGTTGTATTACTTGGGTCATAGCTGTAAGAAAATGCACATAAAATAAAAACAATAAGAAATAGTTTGGGTAAATGTCATCCTAATTAAAGATAACTCATTTCTTCCATAAACTCCTGCTAACTAGTATTTTTATTCCAGCTGCCCGCAACCATGTTAATAGGATGTGTCTAGCAGCTGATGTCCCTCTTATTGAGAGTGGAACTGCTGGTTATCTTGGGCAAGTAACTACTATCAAAAAGGTAAAGAACTTTTTTTTCCTTAACTTTCTAGATAACTTAATCGGAACTTTAAGATGGAGGAGGGTAGAAGTAAACTTTGGATTTATATAATATGGGCTGGTTAGCATCTAAGACATAAGGAATTTTGTTCCCCTATTAAACTTAGGATACCCCAAAGGCACCCAAAAAGAGGATAGGCAGAGATCTTTTATTTCTGTGCTTCTTAGTTTCATTTAGCTTGTATATTAAAATCCTTAGACTGGTAAGCATAGTAAATTTTCCTTAAAATTCTTTATAGACATGTGACATGTCATACTATAGTTGATATATGGTAAACCAGGCTTCTAAAAGTTACTTTTTGTGTAAAGAAGTCTGGATGTATAGATTTGAAGAGTACTTTGAAAAAATTCTTGGTGCATTTGTGAAGTAATTCAAACACTGAGATAAAACTAGAAAGTAAAAGAGCGAATGTCTATACTCCTAACCCAGTTTTATAATATCTCAGCATTGTGATTCATTCGCTGTTCAGATCTTTTCCAGAACCTAAACATAGATATATTTGAAGAATGATTTTGCAGATTTTGAAACTGAAAGGAATTATAGTACTTGAAATTTGCTATTTTTGTTCGTTATTTGAAAATTGTGGCTCTACATTTGTTTTAACTGGTTGATATTGCTCGTTGAAGCTTATTTAGTATCATTCTACAACAACATGTAACAATCAGTGGAGGTCATCAGATCTGTTGATAGGTCAAGGCCGTAGGTTTTTTTTTCTACTGTGATATGAGGAATAACTGCTTGTCATATGACTGCCCCCAAGAAAGCATTTTGGAAGGACCCCAGAAATGGTATTATGAAGAAAATTCTGGATCTGCTGCAATTTATATTAAAACAGTATTTTCAGGTTTGGGTTCTTTAACCATTATTAGAAAGACAGTTCTCACTACCATAATCCTGAGGTACTAGTATGTATTAAGACTGAGGTTGAGAATGGCTGAGATTTAGAATATTCATTTGATGGTTTTGAAAAGTAGTCTCAGGTGCTCTGGACTTCTAGGGATTCCTTAAAGTATAACTTAAAATGTAACCCTGACAGCAAAATGAAGAATATTTGGTTTGGTAATACCTAGTATTTTTACAGGTCTCTAGACAGCTCTTGAAATTAATAATTACTTTTCACTTAATTTTTAAGAGATTATAAGGTAAGGGTATGAGTAATTAGTAAATAATTGAGTTTCACAACTCTTAGAGGTAATTGATTGGAAAGCTGTTTGTCTTTCTATTAGTTTTTTTTCTGTTTAGTGTAATCAAGGTAAACTTCTCGTATTTGATACTCAGGTACAGTACTTTTTATTTGGCTTGTTGTAAGCGGTGTTCACTGCACCAAGAGTCAGAGCAGTCCTGGCTTAGCTTTAGCTGTGACTATGGTTGATTCAGTTAGCTTTTTTATTATAGTTCCTTCTCTGTAAAGTAAGGATTTTGAAGTCACCAATATTCTATCCTTGGCAGCGTATAACCCAGTTAGAATGTAGGTGAATGAATGAAATGTTTATTACATTAACTTATTGAGAAACCACCATCCAGAGGGTAAATGTTTTTCTCATATTCTGACTTTGCAGGGTGTCACTGAGTGTTATGAATGTCATCCTAAACCAACCCAGAGAACTTTTCCTGGCTGTACAATTCGTAACACACCTTCAGAGCCTATTCATTGCATCGTTTGGGCAAAGTATTTGTTCAAGTAAGAATATATATGTTTCTGGGCATATTTTCAGTACTGATAATGGAAAATGGGGTCATTTTTATTTAAAGTCTTAGATTGTACTTATGATGAATGATAATTTAAATATGGTGAAGGGACAATTCAATATCTTTCTTATGTTATTTCTTGGATTAAATTAAATTCAGCCAACATCACATGCCTGTTGTATGTGATGTATTTAGGGAGCTTAGTCTTATATTGGAGATAGGCATGTAATTAAATGAATACAAATCTATATATTTGGGAATATAAAAATATACTTATAAATAACTCATTGATTAAAAAAGAAATGGAGAAAGCCAAAAATACTTTGTAATAATAGTGAAAATAATACATGTGAAACTTGTTGGATGCACTGAACGTGGTAGTTAGAAGAAAAGTTATAGGCTTACATACATGGAGAAAGGTGAACATTAATGAGCTAAAGATTCAGCTTACTTTAGAAAAGAACTACTGAATAAACTCAAAATTAGAAGAAAGGTTATAAATGAGATAAGATCAAAAGGGAAAAAAATTTCATCAAAAGGAGAGAAGTAAATAACGAATGCAAAATGTAATCTCAGCACAGATTAGAATAATTTTTTTTTTTAAAAAAGAATGATAATAAGAGAAGACCATGTAGCTACATTTAAAATTTTAATGGTCTGGATAAATTCATTTTAAAAAACCTTACAAAGCAGACTCAAAAAGAAATAGAAAGCCCAGATACTACAGTATGCCTTAGGGAAGTTTAATCAATCATTTAAATTCTTCTGACTAATACACCAGATCTATGGGAATTTGCAGGTGATTTCTACTAAATTTGCAAGAAATATTTCATCCTTACATAAACTCTCCTAAAGAAATTTTTATAAAAATTGAATACTTAGTTCATGTCATGGGGCTATGTTCAGTTAAGGCCATTATGAGATAAAAGGAAAATTATAAGACATCTTCATACATAAATATAGGTGCAAAAATCCTAAACAAAATATTAGCCTACAAATCTAGAATTATATACAACAGAAAGTATACCATGATCAAGTATTTATTCCAGTAATGCAAGCATGATTTAACACTAGAAAAATCTATAAATGTCATTCACTTCATTAAAAAATTAAAGAGAAACTGTATAATCTTCATAGATAATAAAATTTAGCAGACACCTTTTTATAACAAAAATTCTTAGTAAAATAGAGAACTTTATCAACCTGATAAAAGTTATCTGGAAACCTACAATAGACATTATTTTTCTTTATTTTTTGATTAAGGTATAATATAAATGCTCTCAGAAAAGTACATATATAATGGTATAATGACAAAATTTTACAAAAAATACACTTGCAAGCTTTATTTGGCAAACTTTTTTTCCTTTTAATAGACTTTACTTTTGAGAATAACTTTAAATTTACAGAAAAATTGAGAAGATAGAGTTCTCACACTCAGTTTTCTCTATTAACAAATTAGTATGATATGTACATTAATGAACCAGTATTGATACCTTATTTATTAACTAAAGTCTATAGTTTATTTAGATTTCCTTAGTTTTTATCCAATGTCCTTTTCCTGTTCCAAGATACATTACATGTAGTTGTCATGTCTCTTTTAGCTCCCCCTTAGCTGTGACAGTTTCTCAGACTTTCCTTTTTTTGGTGACCATGATGGTGTTAAGGAATGCTAGTTCGCTATTTTGTAGGATGCCTGCTATTGGGATCATCTGATGTTCTTCTCATAATAATACTGTGGTTATGGGTTCTTGAGAGGAAAACCATAGAGGTAAATTACCATTTTCATCACGTATGCAGGATACATGTTCTTGATATGATTTATGACAATTTAATGTTGGCCTTGATCACTTAGTGATTGCCAGGTTTCTCCTGAAAAAGTTACTCTGCCCCTTTACTATACTGTAGTGTACACTTTGAAAGGCTGTCCCTATGTGTAAGGAAAGTTGTGTTCCACCTCTTTAAGGGCAGAGTGTCTATGAAATTATTTTGAGTGCCTGGAAGATTTGTCTCTTACCATTTATTCAATCATTTATATCAATATGGACTCATCAATATTCAATGTATTTTATACTTTGGGTTATAGTCCATTACTACTTTATTTTTTTGCTCAGCTTGTTCCAGCTTTGGCTGTTAGGAGCTCTTTCAGTTGGCTCTGTGTTCTTTGACATACCACCATCAATGTCTGTCTTTTTGGGGAGCAATTCCTTACTTCTTGATTCTACAAGATGCTCCAAACTCAATTTTTATATTTCCTGCCTCAGTCCTAGAATCAGACATTTCTCCAAGGATCCCTGGTTCCTTTTATTGAAGAATGATGTTAGAAACCAAGATCTGAGTGCTTAGGCTTGCTACTGGAATGTTGTTTCTTTTAGGCCCTCTTTGCTGACAAAGCAAAAAATACATTTATACAAACATGTATATACACAAATATGGAAATATTTCTGTATCAAACCATCCATATCTATATAAGCTAAACACTAATTCATACTAATGTCTCCAACTCTAACCCATAATTACATGGATCATTCTAGCTTCCTAATCTTGCTTATCTGTGAGCTCCCACTTCAGCAGTCAAAATCCCGGCTCTCACTATTTGCTGTCCATATACTTAATGCAATAATTTTTTTTTTTTTTTTAGTTGAGGCAACCATTGATTGACCTCGCAGATTGCAAGGATCTTGTCATCTTATAATCCTTTATTTTTAATGCTTACAGCACCTGGTCTTCCTATCCAAGGTGGTCTCCCATCCAAGTACTATCCAGGCCCGACCCTGCTTAGCTTCCAAGATCAGACAGAATTGGGCTTGTTCAGGGTGACATGGCCGTAGATTTAATATGATAATTTTAATGATAAGAATTTTAGAGCATTTCTTTTGAAATCAGGGACAACATGAGGATGCCCATTAGTGCTATTTCTATTTGGTGTTGTAACAAAGTTCCTAGCCCGCACAGTAAGACAAGAAAAAGAAAATACAGACTTAAGAACTGGAAAAGGAAGAAATAAAATTGTTTTGGTTTGTATGCAGTATAGGTAACCTACATAAAATCTCTGGGTAATCTAGAAATTATTCTTTCTTTAGAAATAATGACAGTTTAGCAACATGGCCAACGAAAAGATTATTTAAAAAGTCAATCGCATTTCTAATCACAGCATCAGACAGGTAGAAAATATAATTTAAAAATAGATAACTCACTATAAAAGCATGCAACTATGAAAGATAACTAAATAAATATGAAGCATTGGGGGGGAAAAAAGCATGAAGTACCTCAGATTAAAGTTTAAAGTATATAAGCCCCAATATATAAAGTTCATGACTATTGGAACATTAAAAGGAGAGAGTACGTTTATGAATCGGAAGTCCCAGTATTGTCAGTATGTCTCCAAATTGATCTATAGATTCAACGCAATTTCAATTAAAATCTCATCAGGGATTATATTGGAACTTGTTCAACTGATTCTGAAATTTATATGGAAGAATAAGGCCTAAGAGGAACCAAAAAACATTCCTGGAGAAGAAAATGTTGAAATGACTTGCTCTAAAAAATGTCAAGATTTAATATATGCTAAAAATAATTAAGTGTGTTACTGGTGCAGGGATAGAAATACAGACCATTGGAACAATACATAGTTCATGATGGAGGTTGCATAATAGGTCCCAGATGAAAGATGGAATTAAAGAAAAGGTACAATTTATTATCATTGTGGGAAAATTTATATTATGTACTTCAAAAAATATGTAGAAATTAAGTATAGATAGATGAGAGATTTAGATATGAAAGGCAGAACTTAGTTTTTATATAGGAGGAAATCTGTCCTCAGGGTTAGGGAATGATTTCTCAAGACAAAAAGTACTGACCATGTAAGAGAATTGATGCGCTCAAATTTTTTTAATATTTCGTCATCAAAAGATTTTAAATGATGTACAAATATTAAGCCATTATGTGAGAAAATATTTGCAACATACAGTCAACTAAAAATTGATCTAGAGTATGTTTCTATAATCAATAAGAAAAAGACAACCTGACAAAGTAATACAGACACATTTTTTTCACTTAAAGAGAAACCCAAATAGAAAATAAATGATGATGTGTTTAACTTTATAACTAACTTGCAAAATTAAGGATAAAATCACAATAAGATAGTATTTTATACCACTTAGTTTGGCAAAACATTAAGTTTGGAGAGGAAATGAATCAATAGGAATTTTTAGATGCCATTGTGGGGGTGTAAATTGGTACAACTTTGGGAAACAAGTGGGTATTGTGAAATATATTAGGAGCTTTGAAATGATAGCTTTTGGTGTTTTTATTTTTTAACTACAAAGGATTCTTTTAAGCTAACTTTTAAGCTTGAAAGTTTGGAAAACTATATTCCTGTAAGTGTTATTAAACAGTTTTTATGATAACTGTTGGATTAACAAGAGAATTTCAGCTTAATACTTTCATATCGTTTCCTAAGACTTTTCAGTAGTAAAGTCACATACTACCACCAAAAAAAAATGTCTTATTCACTCACTGCTGCATTTCCTGCACCTAGAGCAGTGCCTAGCATATAGCAGGTATGTGATGATGTTTGTCGAAAGCTAGCAGCAGATATACTTCACAGTCATTCCAGCATTAGAATGTTATCCAAGTTGGAATGTAAAAGCTGTTCGCTTGTCTTCTTGATCAAAGATTTTAACATACAAATTTGCAGAGCCTAGCTGATAGGAACGAATATAGATCTAATAAAATTTAGCCTTGCTTGTGTTATGATTGAAATTAGGATGCAGGCTGTCAACAGATAACTTGAATATTTTTAAGTTTACGAAGTATTATTTATCAATTCTTTGTTCATTATCCCTACCAAAGACTTGGGATATTCTAAATGAGTTGTTTGTGAGGAAAGTTGGAAAAGTAAACATTTGTTTAGAATATTTTGTTATACATAAGTATTTACTGCTTTTAAATTATAGTCAGCTGTTTGGGGAAGAAGATGCTGATCAAGAAGTATCTCCTGACAGAGCTGACCCTGAAGCTTCCTGTGAGTAAACTATTTGAGATATGTTTTCTTATTAGTGAGCACTACCTTTATTTTGCTAATTTAATATTGATGGCTTAAGGGGGAGAGAGGGTGCTGTTATGTGCTAGATACTGTATTGTGTGCTTAAGATGTATTATTTCATCTTTAAAGCAATGTTTTTTAAAATGGGGTAGTCCTATTAAGTCAAGGTGCAGAGAAATTTCACAAATCCAGTAAATAGAGCTGGGAGTTGTTCCTAGATCTGATTACAGGTTTATACTTTGAGCTGTTCCACATGTGGCCCTCAGAAACAGGTAGAATAAGGATGCTGATGAGCATGTTATTTATTCTCCTTGGACTCAGAATGTGTCATGTGCAGGTGACTGCCATGAGTAACTTTTTTCCCTAAAAGGTGAGATGAGAACTTAATTCTACATTTATCATAGTTGAAATTGAAAATGGTGTTTGTTTTGTAGGGGAACCAATGGAAGCTGAAGCCAGAGCCAGAGCATCTAATGAAGATGGTGACATTAAACGTATTTCCACTAAGGAATGGGCTAAATCAACTGGATATGATCCAGTTAAACTTTTTACAAAGGTTAGGTTTACTTTATAATTGTGGATATGGTTTATTTTAAAATAGTACATGAAATTGGATTATACATTTTATGCCTAATACTGTCTTAATAAATAGATTGATTTAGTTAGGATAAACAGATTTTGAAACTTCGGCATCTGTATTAAAGCAGTATAGCAACTTTATAGGAGACAAAGTGCAAAAGCTTATATACTCTTGGTTATCTTTCCTTTTTTCACTTTCACTGAAATTCTTGGTTTTTCTTATAACCGACCTTTAGTTCCTGCTGTTCTTTGTCTTATATCCTTTTCCTGCTTAAATCTTCTTTTGGCATTTCTCAGTAGCTCTTGAATCTTAAAGCCTCTCGTTCTTCGCTGAATCTCTTCTCATTAGTATGTATTATTCGCCTGCTGAATATTTCTAGAGAAATACACAAGATTGTTTTAACTGGATCTACTTAATTATATAGTTCAGGCCGTCAGGTCTCTATTTTAAAGTCTTTATTTCTTCTGCCTTCAGTCTCTAACAAGTTTATCTTAATAGATATTTGAAACTTTCTCAGCTCTCTTTTTTTTCTTCTTCTTGCCTGTGTACCTTTTTCAGATGTCATCTCCTTGATTTCTTTCCTCATTTCTCAGATAAATAAAACAGAATTTCTGATAGTACTCAAAGTTATGTGATTTTCACACTAAATTGTATTCTAATTATTTGGCTGGTTTCCAGAGATTAAAGATGTTTAATAAATATTGATTGAATAGAACATATTTTGATGAAATAATTCTAACTTTTTTATTAAGTCAAATCTTGAATGCATACCAGTATATATAATAAATATGTTGAATATATCAGTTAACAATAGAAAACACAGCTAAGGAAAAAGGTAACATTAATGTCATCTGAAATTTTCCCACATAAGATAGTGTCATTCATGTGATGGTCTTTCAGTCCACATGTAGTAATGTTTATGTTTTTGTTTGTTTTTGTATTTGAAATAGTAATTGTTTTTCTGGTTTGCTTTTTGTGGGGCACATTTCAGAAATGTTATAGATGGTTAAGAAATTGTTTTGGAGCACTTTTAAAATGTGCGTGCTTTATTTGGAATGTACCCACAGACATGGAGCTGTTGCTAACTGGTATTCTAGGCTCAGTGATTGTGTTCTGTTCTTGTGGCGTTGGTGTGTATTTATTTAGCTCCTTGACTGGTGTATTTGTGCTTCTCACAGATCTCTGGAGCTTTAGAGGAGCTCGTAGGTAGATGGCTTGGGAGGGCAGGGTCAGTCAGCACAGTTCAGAGTTCCCTTACACTGCTTTGCTCAGTACTCCTCTGCTTTTTACTGTTTCAGATGTAGGAGTTCTGTATAAAATTTCCTTTTATAAAAGTCTTAAGGTTTTTTTTCCCTTTTAAAAATGAAATCTTTGGAAAACCAGCCAAATAATTATTAATCTATTGGTATATGACATGTTTTTAAATCAGAAGATTTTACAGTGTAATATTATTAATCAGCAGTGATATTTTTTATATTTTTAACAGCATAAGGACTGTAGGGTTCATGGAATTTCTCTCTTTTTTTTTTTTGAAGCTTTTTAAAGATGATATCAGATATCTGTTGACAATGGACAAACTATGGCGGAAAAGGAAACCTCCGGTTCCTTTGGACTGGGCTGAAGTACAGAGTCAAGGTAAAGGATACATTTTAGTATTTGGGACACCTAAATTGGAAATTCCCTCACCTAAAGTCTTTAAATGGTTCTCTTCTTTCTTGACAATGTCATATGGTTCATGGTAAGAAGTTCAAACAGTTTCATAAAAGTTAAGAAGAAGGAGGAAATCACTGGAAATCATATCACCTAGAGAAATAGCCTATATTAACACAAAATGTTAACATTTTAGGGAATGTCTTATAGTCCACTCTGCACATAGACACAGGCAATCGTGTATGCACTTTACGTAATGGAACCATACTATTCATATACTCAGACTTGCTCTTTTTAGTAAATATTTAATCCCTTATCAGTTCTAACATTTAGTTGTTTCATATTTTCCCTGAAACAAAGAGTATAATGAATATACATCTTTGTACCTCTGTATTTAGCACTAGTCAAGGAGCTAAATAAATACCAGAGGTACAAAGATGTATGTATATTCATTATACTCTTTGTTAATTTAGGAACATATAATTTTAAATACAAGTAAAACTATTGCCGTGGTAACTACATCCTTATCCCACTCCCCCTTAACACATTGTGTCTCTGCTTTATCTGAATTGTATTGCAATTGATTTACGTTCAGTGATAGCACACTGGAACTTAAAGGATCCCAAGAGATTTTGGGTGTCAGTTTGGAGCACTTCTCTACAGTAATGGATGCTTGACTTTTTGGACCAATTTAAGTACGGCTTATTGAGTGCTAATTATGTCGGGCATGTTGGGCATGATGCATATCTGTATCATATCCTTGAATCCCACAATAGCCTGCTGAGGTTCTGAGATAGTCTTACACCTTTCCCATCTCAATATTAGCAGTTTTTTGGTACACATATGTTTCATAGTGATAATTATTTTAATGGAATTTGTTTCATATTTTATTTTCTTATTAGTCAGGCATTGAATTGTTAGGGTAGAGGAATGATGTTTAATAGTGAAGTTTCTAATATTTTTTTCCCTTAGGAGAAGAAACCAATGCATCAGATCAACAAAATGAACCCCAGTTAGGTCTGAAAGACCAGCAGGTTTTAGATGTAAAGAGCTATGCACGTCTTTTTTCAAAAAGCATTGAGACTTTGAGAGTTCATTTAGCAGAAAAAGGGGATGGAGCTGAGCTCATATGGGACAAGGTTTGTTTTGAAAAAGTGTGGCAATTACTTACATATATGTATATTTTAGTTCTTGAACTGTAATCAGAAGCTAGTAATTTTTGGATATTGTTTATTCTATCTGATTTCGAGGACATAATGTTGATTTTGGATGTTTTTATCTCTTAATTGCTACATTGAACTGAGTTTTCTATACATGAATTTAAGCAATATCATAAAACCTCATTTTAGATTAGTAGTATGTTCATGGTTTATAATTATGCTCCCTGGAGAAATAATGCGAATGTATTGGAGTTAAATATTTCATTGACTTAAGAAAACATGTAATATAGATTTGTTAATAGAAGTCAAAATCTTGTTGGAAGCAACAGTTCATGGGCCTAATTTGACCTTGAAAATGATAAAATTGCCTTTTTATTGAAATAATTGTAGCTATTTTAATAATCTGACACCTCAATACAAAAATGAGATGTAAAAATAATATTTAATAATATTTTACAACTAGGTGTCATATTTTGAAGTTTGATGAGTTAATTTTAGTTATTTTTAATTGTCAGTTATTTTCTGTGGCTATAAGTGATATATCTGATAAAGTTTATATGTTCCTATGATGGTAAAGATTTGCTATGAGTTTTAAAGTCAAGGGAAAAGTTTGGTCAGTTTTAGCAAATGAAGATGATAACTATGTGTGCAGTTTTGGAACTGGTTAAATAAGGCATCGTAAATGAAGCTAGTAAATTTAGATTTAGGAGATTCTTGTAAATATTAGTCTCTTGGGCTAATGTGGTATAAGGAGTAACTTTTTAAAATTTTTTCATTGTTACTGTTATATTAGGGATCTCTGGGGAGTTTTTCTCTGTACATGGGTTCAGCGGTCCCCAACCTTTTTTGGCATCAGGGACCAGTGCTCCTATAAGAATCTAATGCCAGATGATCTGAGGTGGTGATGCTAGCACTGAGGAGCAGCAGCAATACAGATGAAGCTTTACTCGCTCACCTGCCACTCACCTCCTGTTGTATGGCCCAGTTCCTAATAGGCCACTGACCAATAACGGTCCAGGCCTGGGGTTTGGGGACCCCTGGGTTAGATAACAAAACTTTGAAAGTGGGAATTGTTACACTGTGTGAATAAAAACTACACCTAATGGGTGTTATTAGTAAATTGCCTAGGGAATTTACTTGTGAACACTATTGGGTACTGTTAAATATTCATACTTAATTTTCACCACAACCTTATGAAAAGTTTATATAATTTTCCCTGTTTAACAGATTAATGAATTATGGATTGGGGAGTTGATTTGCCTGAGGTTACATAGCCAGCCAATAGTATATAAAGAACCCACATCCTATCAATGCTTTTTCTTCTGTACTTTGGTGCTTCTGAATTATAGGATAGGATAGAATCTTCTCAGGAAAGTTGGAAACCTTGCTGAAATCTAATTAAAGAGACTAGGATATAGTCTCAGAAAAAAACATAAATTGTCAGGGGAAAACTTATATTGCCCTATCTGAAAAGAAACAGCAAATATAGGAGAGTAGTGTATTTGAAGAGAATTTGGAGTAGGAAAGCCAGAAGGAGTCATCCAGGTGTTTCTGAGGCTTTAATAAAACAGCTTGCTCAGAAAAGACTCTATTTCTTTGCGTGAAATCTTGTCAAGCAGCCTCATTACTGGCATACCTTGTTTGATTGTACTTCGCGTTATTGCGTTTCATGGATATTTTGTGTTTTACAACTTGAAGGCAGGACCCTCCACCAACAAAAGGATTATGTCGTGCTTTATTATGATACTTGCTTTATTGCAGTGGTCTGGAACTGAGCCCAGAATATCTCCAAGGTATGCCTGTACTGCCTGATGGATCCAGGAAAGGATTGCCATTGTCAGTAAACAGAATCGGTGTTTTGTTATATACACTTAGTCTCCAGCGATTTGTTTTAGGTAGGAGTGAGTTCCTAGAGGCCTGGTGGCTCTTGGCATCCTTTGTCAGATTACATTCCTGAGTCAGAGGCACTGATGATGACACCCTGTCCCATACTCATCTAATCTCCATGCTACTGTAAGGCTTTACCTCTCCCTCAAGGCCATCTCTTGTTCTTGTTGACTGACTGCAATGTGATAAACATGTGAAAGTACTGTTGTGAAAGTATATGACTCAAATTAATAAATTTGTGGGGAGACTTGTTACATTATTTAAATTTTTGGCAGGATGACCCATCTGCAATGGATTTTGTCACCTCTGCAGCAAACCTCAGGATGCATATTTTCAGTATGAATATGAAGAGCAGATTTGATATAAAATGTAAGTTGTTTTGTACTTCAGTTGTATCATCTAAAATGATGTTATTCTTTCCTTTTTTTAACAGCTAAATATATTCATCTTTTATTTTTTATTTTATTTTTTTTTAGCAATGGCAGGGAACATTATTCCTGCTATCGCTACTACTAATGCAGTGATTGCTGGATTGATAGTATTGGAAGGATTAAAGATTTTATCAGGAAAAATAGACCAGTGTAGAACAGTGAGTATTTCTATTTGCATTTTTTATTCAGCCTCTTTTTGGAGTAATATATATGTGCAGGGGGAAATGATTTATAAACACATTAAACACAATTTTAAAAATTAAAACCGTCTGCGGCCATGCCACCCTGAACAAGCCCGATCCCATCTGATCTCGGAAGCTAGCAGGGTCAGGCCTGGTTAGTACTTGGATGGGAGACCACTTAAGAAGACCACCTGGGCGTAAAAAATAAAAAATAAGGGATTATAAAATGACAAGGTCCTTACAATCCGTGAAGTCAACCAAGGATTGCCTCGCCTAAAAAAAAGTTAATTAAAACAAAGTTAATTTTAAAGCACTGGAAGATAATTACTCCAGTTATCTTGTGAATGCATATTTAAGCTTTCTGGAAATTACAACAAAAGAGAAACAAATTTGCTTCTCATTTTTGTCTAAAATGGAAGCAGAAGGTAGTTTGCTTCTAACATTTCCAGTTTTACTGAATTTTTAGAGGAACTCATTGTGTGTGTTCTTAAGCTTTTTTCATTGTTTTTCAATTCTAAGAGTTCTTTATGGGTTTTAAATTTCGTTGGGTTATTTTATAGTCTCCTGCTCTTTAATTATTTTCAATTTCCTTTTTTATTTTAAATCTACTTTATATTATTTGACATGTTTAATGTCTGAAATCTTTATGAATGAGTCTACTGTCAGGTCTGCCAGATCTCTCTCATGGTATTTTGTTTGCTTCTGCGGTGTGTGATTCATTTTTTAAACGTAATTAATGTTTATTAAAATTATATCTGTGATAATTCTTTAAGGACCTATTGAAGGTGTATTTCTTCAAAGAGGATTTATGCTTACTTATATCTGAGTGCCTGGGGACAATTTTTAAATTCTTTAGTTTTTTAACCCATATATATATATATATTCATACAGCAAAGCTGCATGATCTCTACATTGTAATGAATTATAAAGAAAATTTCCTCCCTACCCCTTCCCAAAGCACCAAGGCCAGGATAGTTTTTCTGTTATTTCTGTGTGGGATATATTTTACTCCTCTTTACTCTCCTTCTCTTGCAGGTTCTTGCTTTAATGTAAGGGTCTCCTAGTATAAGAGTTCCTACATTAGTGAGACATGGGCTAGGTTGATCTGTTAAGATGAAAGCCATTTGGGTGTTCCATTTGGATTCCTGCTTTCATTCTGTATTAAGTTGGTGTGTTTGAAGATGCTTAGTTTTCTTATCAGTTTAGCAATTCAAAAAAACTTATAAGAAATAATTCTAGCCAATATTTTTGCTATTTAGGTTATCTTTTTTTTACTATAAAGTTGAAATAACAGGACCAGTTTACTTTCAGGAATTTCTTAAAAATACTGAGTCTACGATGATACCCTTAATTTTTTAGCACAATTATTGATGTAGTCTTAAAATATCTTACTGTTTTTGTGAAGTTTCAGGGTGAAGGAATGTAGAATCATATTGTCAATCTGTCATCTTGATTCAGTTTTTTATTTAAATTGTTTTTGCTATTATATTTTTTTAACAACTTTGTTTTTTTTCTACTTTTCTATATAGCCTGAATTTATCCTATGGCTCTAGTATTCCTTTGAGCTGACAAACAGTACTGCTTATTGAGTTTATTAAAATGTGTGTTTCCTATAATACTCTTCTCGTTTCTTTGACTTCTCAACTCTGTCATCTCTTGGATTAATGATACTTATGTCTGGATTTTATTTGTTCATATTTGTAAATGAATTTTGAGATGGGTTAATATTGTTAGCTTGAGTAATAGTAGTGTTAGCATTTGTTTTCATTACTGTCAGTTTCACTCAACATAGTTAACCTTCCCAGTGAAGCCCAAGATCAAACAAATCTGTTCCCCCATTGTACCCTGCTTCCAGACTTGCCAGTTCAATGACTACTACCAGTAGTACTGTTAGTATAGGAGGTCTCTTTTTAGCACTTAACTGCTTCTTGAGGGATTTACTTCTTTAAGCTTAGAGTCCATGGGATTCCTCTTTACAATTAATTAATTTTAGGAAATACCACAGTACATGATAGTCACAAGATGAAAATATGTATATCAGCTTTCAGTATTGTCCTGACATTTGTTTGTATTGAATCTGGCTAGTGTTCTCCACACTTTGTAGTAGTATAAGGTTTGGGCCTTCTTAAATTTCAGTGCAGTTTTTTAAATTCACCTTTGTTCTTGTTATTTTTTTGTTTGGATGTTAGAGAAATGGTAAATAGGTGCTTATAGTGCCAGAAGTACATTATTTTTTTCTCTTAATTATGTGAATATCAATATCATAGGCATAGAAAATTTGAAAAGAAAGGCACATCAGTTCCTTATGTCTGTGAAGGTGTTATCAGTAGTTGGAGATATTAATGTATCTGTCTTGGTGAAAAGTTGGCTTAAAATTGATTAAGAATAACCACTAGGAAGGCACCCAAAAGCTGAATTAATGATCCCAGGGATGAGTATGGCTAGGCCCTTTTTCTTGCTAAATTAGTTTGCACAATAGAGTCTTCAAGGAGATTTTTCTTTTCAGTAAGCTCAGCTTTTCAGTAGGTAGCTAATTTGAAAAGAGGTTTGGGAAATCCGACTATTAAGGTCATGATTTTCCTTACTGTTTTTGCCATCTAGAAGGGAATATTTAAGTCATTTTTTGATGGCTGTGCAGTAAATAAAACAATAAACTTCTGATTGTATGGTATATTAAATTGCATCATGAATTTCTGATTTCTGCTTGTTTTTTTTTTCCTCCAAAGATTTTCTTGAACAAACAACCAAACCCAAGAAAGAAGCTCCTTGTGCCTTGTGCACTGGATCCTCCCAACCCTAATTGTTACGTATGTGCCAGCAAACCAGAGGTGACTGTGCGACTGAATGTCCATAAAGTGACAGTTCTCACTTTACAAGATAAGGTAAGCCCAGAGGCTGCTTCTTTTCCACGTTTGTTCATTTTTCTTTTCCTTAAAAAAAAAAAAAAACAAGTTCCCTTTTGCGTTTTAAAGTGTTACTGTGATAACAAACTGAAAACCAGATTACTACTCTTGAAAGACTGACTACTGAAGTGTTTTGCTCTGATAGCCGGGACGGCTTTGCTATCTGGGATCGTGCTGGCTTTTCTCTCTGGTTCCAGAATATGTGCCTCACATCCCCAAAAGGAATTGGGTATATTTGGCTGGAAAACATGCCACAGGTGGCACAGTATCTTAGCAAGGAAGAGACTCTGTGCTCGCTCTTTGTTTCCCAGATAGTTTGTAAATTCTATATTTTTTTGGCAGATAGGAGATATCCTTAAATGGTCTGGTGATGGTCCTGATTCTGGTGTGTTAAGTTAGTCCCTGAGGAGGTGCACCATTTGTGTACCTGCATTCACCTATAGAGCTCTGGAGGGAGGGAAATGGGGGTTAGGATGTGGTCTGGTCCTATAACCTGGTCCTTGATTCTTCCTAAACTGGCTAGATTAGTTTCTTTATTAGGAAGGATGTCAAAAATAACCCCAGTGGGCGTCACTTCTTATTTTGGGGAAAACTTCAGATTGTTCTCTGGTTATATCTATCATCGCATTACATATTTACATACCTGCTAGACCTTTGTGGTCCTAAGGACTGCTTGAGGAAATGAGGGAATGGCCTTTTTCCCAGAAATGGATGATATACAGGACAGGTGGCTTGCCCTTATGTTTTAGTTGGGGAAGCATCTACTCATTCTTGAGCTTAAAAGCAGTTCCACTATTTGATTATTTGTAAGATACATGGACCTTTTAGAGCGTTCCTTTTTTTTTTTTAAGGAGCAGTTACAGTTGACAGGATATTATCACTTTTGACCTATCTTGGAATTTAAAGAGAGATAGAACTTAGGAGGGGGAAGACTATCTGAGAATCAGGTTAATGAGAAAATCTGCATCTGTAAAACATCTGCTAGTACAGGGTTGTTATTGAGACTAAGATAAAACATGTTATGTATTTAGCCCAGTACCTAATCTGCAAGGAAGAACAAAATACCAAGAGCCAATCGGAGTTTTCAGTCCCCCATTTGGAGGAAGTTTTATCTGATCCTCTATCTGTGGTCAAACATGGGGATGGAATGTGGGCATGAAATGTTGGGTGAATGCCTACTGCTTTCCTGCTTGCCCCCAGGTATCTTAGAACAACTTGGCCCCTTTCCAATGGAAGGGGAAAGTAAGAGCCTTTATGGAAAAAAGGTCTAGATTTTTTATGGTATTTAGTTATACATATTAATATTTTGAATCTTTTTTTCTTGTAGATAGTGAAAGAAAAATTTGCTATGGTAGCACCAGATGTCCAAATTGAAGATGGGAAAGGAACAATCCTAATATCATCAGAAGAGGGAGAGACAGAAGGTATTATACATTGCGTTTATTCACTCCATCGTTTGAGTGGAGACTGCCTAAATGAAGGAGCGCACATTAGTTTGTCCACTGCTGTATATGTTACTCAGTGTCACAGCTTTAAGGGGAGATACTTGGTCATGGAGGTGCTCTCCCAAGATGTTATTGCCTTGGTGGGATCACTACACAGTTCCAGATTTTGGAACTCTGTGTCGTCATTGTGTCTCAGGGACTGTTTTTCAATACCACAGTGCACAGGCACCATTTACAGTTACCTCCATGCTCTTGTCTATTCAGAGGAACTGCCTTACCTGTGTCATAGGTCCTGGGAGCTAAATGAGTAATGAGAAGATCACTCAGAGTTAGGTAATCTAAGGCTGGGGAAGCCTTGATAGTTTACTCCAACCGTGGAGCACAGAGTAGTGCTGAAAATCAGTGCCCAGTTTTGGCTTTTTAGCCCTTTTTTATTTTTAAAGTTCAAGCAGGCCATCCCTCATGTTAATGCCTTTGATTTTGTTTAAACTGTCTTAGAATTGGTTCTGGTTGCACCTCCTTAAGTCTACACTAGCCGGTTTGATTGGACTTAGAAATCCTCAGATCTCTTTTGTCACTTTGGCATCTCATCTTTTGGGTTATCATTTTAGTTGATTGCTTCACATCCCAAATTTTGCTAATGCACTGTCGCTTTCAAAATCCAGGGGCATTGGTTTCCCCCTCTATTGACTTAATTATTTACCTATTTGTTCAGTGATCATTTATTCAGTATACTTTGCCAGATCTTAACAGGGATTTAAATGTCAAGCCTTCTTTAAATTAAAACTTTAGTGCCAGAATTCTTCTTGACTGTAGTTTCTTGTCAAGAAATTGTTTGGGATACTAGGTCATGAGTAATTGGAGACTGTGTTTTGGCTGGGTAATAACTATGTATAGCGCCAGGCGGGTACTAACTAGACATGGTTGGGGAATCACTTCATAAATTATGTGTGTCTAACCACTGTGCTGTATACCTGAAACTAATATAATATTGAATGTCAACTGTAATGGAAAAGAAATAGATTTTTAAAAAAATCTCAGTGGCTTAAATGTACATGTGCTTCTCAGAGTAAGACAGCATTTATTCAAATATGTGTGGAGTCCTGTATTATAGGCATAGTCTTAAGAATTCATAATTTAAGAACAAATAAGACAGTAGTAGTCTGGTTTGAAGTACTTTATAGCCTGGAAGAAGAGGAGAGATTATCAACAAGTAGATTTAGTACAGTTGAAGAAATACTATGGAAAAAGATTATATGAATTGAAACTTTATTAAGGGTTGGGGGATTGTTACAGGAGAAAGAGGACTCGGGCCAGTTGAAGAAGTAAGGACCTTCTGAGCAGAGAAGGGAGTGTGCATTTGGACAGAATGAGCAGTATCTATAAAGGCCTGACTTATAAAACAACATAAAAGGCTCTGGGAATGGCCAGTTATTTTGTTTCAGTGGAAGGTGGGATGCTGTGAGTGGGGTTGGCAGTGGTGGTGCACTGGAGGACTTTCTTTGGCAGATGTGTAACACGTATTTGTCTTTTTCCTCCCCTATTATCTTACTCCTACCAGAGTTTAAGCAGTGAAGTAATGGTTATCTTCTAGTATAATCTGCAGAGGGTGAGTTAAGGGTGTGAGAGTGGAGGCAGGAGCCAGCTAGGGAGAAAAAAAAAGTGAAATGAGTGAGGAAATTTTACTAAGATAGAAGCAGATGACAGATTTGAGATTTGCAAGGTCAGAATTCAGGGTGCAGGTGAGGAGGAGAAGCATTGTTAGGCCTGTACAGGACCGTTGCCAGGACTCTGGTTTTACAGATGACGCTAATTCATCAAGATAGACTGCACAGTAACTTTTCTTTTTGAATATGTTGGGTCTGAAGAGTTACTAGTGAGTGGGTTATGTGTGAAAATTCTTTGGGGATGGAAGTCTGGTTGGGAACTAATGTTTTCGAAAGACATTCTGAATAGATTAAAAAGTTAAAATAAGAAATCTGTATGTAAAAGAACTAGAAACTCAGTATTTTCTGGATTTCAAGGTCAAGGTAGGGACTTGCTAAACATTTTTCTATAAGCAATGAAGAAATAATAACTAAAGAAAAAATTTTGTACGATTATGTAGAAAATTACATAAATTTAAACATACCTAGAATTTAAAAGATAGTTTACTTAATATGTGTCGGGCACTGTGGATACAGGTCAGCAGGTTCTGTATAGTCTGTGCCCCTCACAGAACAAATGTTCAGAACTGAGCATTGTGAGCAGGGAGTGTAAGTAGGGAGCAAGATGAGGAAGCAGGGTTTTTTCCTTCTTCAAAGACTACTTTTTTTTTTCCTTAAATTTTTTTTTTTTAATTTTCCAATTATAGTTGATATACAACATTATATTAGTTTTAGGTGCACAGCATAATGATTAGACATTTCTATACCTTACAAAGTGGTCACCCTAATAAGTCTAGTACCCACCTGACACCATATGTAACATAGTTGTTAAAATATTGATTATATTTCCTGTGCTATAGAAGAAGAGTTTTGTAGATTTGAGTGCTTTTGCTGCTTAAGAGAGAGGAGCACTTGAATGTGCTGTAGTTATAATCCGTGTAGCAAAGGTTTATTGAGTGCTAACTGGCAGCTAGACACATATTGGCGATATTCAGGTGAAGCAGAAATGACATATGGAAGATGGAAATATGTTGGAGTATTTATTTTTGGGAGTCCACTAGCTCTTCATTGAATAATGTTGAAATTTTTATGTTGAGAAATGAAAAGTTTATTTAAATGAAATTTCCTTATTTTTCTAAATTGTGAAATTTGCTAAAAAGCAGTTGAAGTTGTCGTAGATAACCTCTTTGCAACAGAATATATTTTGAATGCTAAAAATTGTCTTTGACTTCTCTAAGATTCTAGATTAATTTGGTTTGAGTGGGAGAAGGTTCTCAGAATTTCTCACAGTTTGATAACCTGAAGTAGTTTTGGGAGTTGGGTGTTCAGGGCTGAATTCCTAAGTGCCTAATATTTTAGTGGATTAGTTTGCTACAGGTGCTATACCAGAATACACAGATAGGGTGACTTACATAACGGAAGTTTATTTTCTCATAGTTCTGGAGGCTACAGGCCTTAAAGTGTCGTCAGGTTTGGTTTCTCCTGAGGTCTCTCTCCTTGGCTTCTAATGTAGTTACCAGTTAGATTGGATTAGGGGCTACCCTAAAAGCCTCATTTTAACTTATTCACTTCTTTAAAAAGTCCTAACTCCAGATAGTCACATTCTGAGATAATGGGGTTAGGGCTTCAACATAATGCATTTTAGGGTACACAATTCAGCTTATAGTGGGAGATTAACCTTTTAAAAACTAACATGACTGCTCCATGGAGATAGAACTAAAGTATCTACATTTCTTTCAAATTTTCTAGCTAATAATCACAAGAAGTTGTCAGAATTTGGAATTAGAAATGGGAGCCGGCTTCAAGCAGATGACTTCCTTCAAGACTATACTTTATTGATCAACATCCTTCATAGGTAGGAACTATTGATATTTTAAGTGTAAGACATTGTTTGAATATACACATTTAAGATAAAGTAGATGGAGAAAAAACATGTTTTCTTGCCCTTAAACACTGCCGTTCATTTGAAACTGCACAGTATATTTGCTCCAGTTGGCCACTGAATTCCCTGAGGTTTGACCTACAGAGAAATTTAGGAATTTAGAAATAAACGGAATAGGCAAAAAACATTTTAAGGGTAACTTGTCAATGGTGGCTGATCAGAAAGAGGGTAGAAATCCAGGCGTTTGAAGTTATAATTAGAGGTAAGTTAATTCTGATAATTAAAATAGAATAAAACTTTGTTACTTTTATAGATTTATTGGAAGAAAGGAAAATATTTTTGTCTCATAAAACAAATTATTAATATTAAGAGTTATCCTGTATAGATTCCTGAGTCATGTATTTTTATTTGATTTTACATCCTTTATAAAAAGCATTCAAAGTGCTTGCATTACAGAATGTTTACATATATATAGCACAATTAAAATACTGATGGTCCTCCACTTTGGTAATTTTATCTATTGAGCAAGATACATTTTTGTACATACTCATTGATATCCCTAAGCTGAACTCTTAGGACTTTGGGGTACCATCTAACCAACATAAAGCATTGCCAGCAGTGTCCACAGTTGTTTTGCCAGGGTCGCCATCTCTGTACAAACATATAGCTTGTGTAGTTGTTTGAAAGATATTGTATTTTATATACTTAGTTTATAAAGAGCATAAAATGACAGGGAAGACTGAATGTTGGTTATTAGTAATAAGTGTAAGTTTTACAAAGATAGTTGCGTCAAAGAGATAATGGCTAGGAGTGATCGCTAGCCTCAAATAGACACCAGTTGGATGTCAGTGGTGTGCTTGTGTTGAGTTTTGAAAGAAAAGACGATGAAAGAACATGTACAGTAAAATGGAAATATATCAGATGGTGTCTAAAAGAGGAGGCATAATTAGGGTTTTTTTATCATATTTTTTTAGCTCTCTGGGAACAGAACCCCCCTTATAACATGTAAGTCTTTTGTTTGACTTTCATGCATTAAACTTTCATACATGTTTTTGGGAACTTGTTACAAAAACAGGATGCTGCCTGTAAAGATGGGGGGGGACCCAGAATTCATGTAATCCTACTTCTAAAACCAAATTACTTTTGGTCAGGATCAGAATAGAGTGTGTAGAATCTTTTCGCATAGTAGCTGAAGAAATAATGCCAAAGAATTACATTGGGCCATAGAGTTTGGACTCAATAAAAGATATTTCATGTTTTTTAAAAAAAATCTTTTCTCTGATTTGAAGGTGCAATGTATTGACTATTTGAGTTAGAGTTACAAATTATCACAAATATCTGTTATGTACAGTGTTGTTTTTTATTTTAGCTCTTTGAAAGCTAGAATTCAAATACTTAATGTGTACATAGTATACACTTCAAGCTTTGAGGAACAGTGTCTCTCTGGTGCACCTATGCTTTTGTAAATAGTTGTAACAGTAATCCAGTTTTACAGTGTGTGGTTCTCTTACAGTGAAGATCTAGGAAAGGATGTTGAATTTGAAGTAGTCGGTGATGCCCCAGAAAAAGTGGGGCCCAAACAAGCTGAAGAGACTTCCAAAAGCATAACCAATGGCAGTGACGATGGAGCTCAGCCTTCCACATCCACAGGTGAGTTGTGGCCCCAGCCAGCAGGTTGTTAATTACCCACCAAACAAGACTACATAGGAACAAACCGATTATTTTATAAATATTAACCATAAAGTAGAAATCCATAGGACTACTACAGGTGTGTTGGTTTGGCATTGATTGTTTTAATGGAGCTTTGAATGTATGAACCATGAAGACATTTAAGACTGGGGGAAATTCTTACAGAAAACAGAAACACTTCTTATTTTTTGTTAGTGGGTGTTTACAACTGGAAATGTCAGTGAGCTTATTAGTGAATAAAGACCATCCATTCTTAGAAGTTTTGAATTTTGTGTGAAAGAATCAGTGCATCTGACTATTTTGAGTGAGTGGATGCTTGGTAAATATAGAATTGTACCATTTCAGTTTTCCCAGAACCAGTGTGATTTTGGAAAGTGCATCAGAGGCTGTTTCCCTGGATTTTCAGTGCTGCTGCTTGGTGCTTTTTACTGTGCTGGATTTCGATGTTTATTACCTCTCTCCCAACCCCCAGCACACACACATATACCTCTTCATTCTTTAAGTTAAGAAATAAAAGTTATCAATTTTTTACTTCTCAGTTTGCATTTTTTTGACCCCGTGTCTTTGGTGTTCATTGGAATGATGTTCTCTGAGAGTTTTAAAGATGGACTTTGAGACTGTCTAGAGTTTGGCCCACTTGTGGGCCATGGGTTCATGACCATTTTTTTTGCTCTGAAAATAGGTCCATCATTCTCTTTTGAGAAAGGACTATGGTAGTTTTTTTTAAATCATAATTTGAAATGTGCATTTACTGATCCCCTAGTGTGGGTAGGTTTCGGAGGCTGTAGCAATAAGTAAGATAGGTACTTTGCCTTTGGTTTGGTGGAGTTGTGGGGAGGGTGCAAAAACCCACTGTAGGATAGGGTAACAAGCATGTACTGTAGAGCCCCACTATGTGGATTTGAATCCTGACCTCATCCTCTGCTATTGTGTGACCTTGGGCAAGTCAACCTCTCTGTACCTCAGTTTCCTTTTCTGGAAAATGGATAATAATGTTATCTTCTTTATAGGGTTGTTGTGATGATTAAATGAGTTGTTATATGCACAGTGCTCAGAACAGTTCCTGGCACATTGTAAGTGCTATATATATGTTGTTGTTGTTTATTATTATTATTACCACTGCTACCAGTATTAGGATTTGTACCCTTCCCTTTTCTGTTGGTGAAATAGAAACAAGGAACTGTAATAATTCCTTTGAGTTATATATAATGCTTGTTATAATTTTTTGTTTTGATTAGAAATGAAATAAGTGCTTGTTACAGAAGACATTAAAACAGTACATATATGTGTAATGTATAAAGCAAAAGTTCCCTAAGGGTGGCCATTCTTAAGTTTGGTGTTTATCAGAAGAGTTAGTCTTTTCACTTATATAAAGTACTAGTGAGCCACTTATAACTCCACACTTTTAACCATTTTTTCTTTTTTTTTTCTGAAATAAGCACAAGAGCAAGATGATGTACTCATAGTCGATTCAGATGAAGAAGGTCCTTCGAATAATGCTGACATCAGTGAAGAGAGAAGTCGCAAGAGGAAATTAGATGAGAAGGAGAGTATCATTGCAAAGAGGTCACGCACAGAACAGACAGAAGATCTTGATGATGTTATAGCATTAGATTGAACAGAAATGCCTCTAAACAGAATCCACTTACTGCATTAGGTCATCTGGGCATCTGGAACCAGGTTTATTTGTTATGTTCTTTGTTCCAAAGGGAAAAAATTAACACCAGTGACTTGAAGGTGATTCTGCTCCCTTTGAAAGCATTCATTTTGCTAGAACTATTAGACACTTTGCGGTATGTTGTATGGAATGTAGAAATATAGTTTTAAAACCCTTCGAACAAAGCATTTGCATAACCAGTCATGAGGTGAAACAACACAATGCATGTTGCCTTTTTAATGTAAATACCCGTAGGTATCATTTAATAGTTTTAAAATATTGTGGTTTAGTAAAGTTGATACCTGGTTATAAATATTATGCCTTTATTTTTGGTTAGAAGAAGAATTATTTTTAGCCTAGATCTAACCATTTTCATACTCTTTGACTGAAACAGATTCAAAAAAGTATCAAGTGCTATGCATTGAAACTTGTTTTTAAATGTTACCTGGCGCTATGTATATTAATGTAAAACAATGTTAATTTACTCAAGTTTTCAGCTTGTACTGCCTGGTATGTCAGTGTAAGAAGCCAGTTTTTGTGTATTGTTACAGTTTCAGGTTATTTATATTTGAAGTTTTGTAAAACTCAAATACGACTATACTTATGGACCAAATAAATGGCACCTACATACTTGTTACACATGCCTGCAAAGTTCACGTGTCTGCTGCTTCGTTGGATTTATCCATCATGTTTACTGCAGGCATGCTAAATTCTTTCCTTTTAAAAAATTAACTTGTAATGGATGTCAAGGTTAAAAGATCTGTTTGCCATAGATGAGTACTTTCTAAAATAAAGCTTTTAGTGGCAATGTTGCTTTTTAAATTTGGATTGTAAATAGATGGCCTTTTGTTGAAAGCGTTTAAGTGATCTTTGCCCAGTCCCAGTAACTCGGAGCCTTGGATTTGAGGTTTCAGAGTGGGAGAGTCTTACCTTCATTCTGCAGTCTTCTCTGGATTGTCCCCTAGTTCATTGGAGTTCCTTCTCGAGTATTCCATTCAGGGTCTAGCTCCTGCCCACAGACGTGGCCAGACCAGTGCTGGACAGATCAGCACTCATCTCTCTCCTAGACCCCAGAGCACCTTGGTCCTTAAGGTACTCTCCTCACCCAGATGTGCCTTGAGTTTTCTGATAACAGAAAACCATGAAGCCGTTTCCCCCATTTTCTACCTCTGCCTTTGGTGTTATTGGCCACAGTCAACTAAATTTCAAATTGATAATTCATTATATTGTCCTACTTGGTGTAATTGTTACTCTGCCCCACAGCTTATTAACTCTTACTCTTTTTTTTTTGGTATCATTTATAAATTACCATGTAATCAAAGCCTTCAGAAAAAATCATAGAACAAGAAGGCTCTCAGGAGCATGCTGCTTAATGCCTCCAGATTGACTGACTTCCAGCTTTCCAATATAGCATTTGGAAGATCCCCACTCACAACTCTGAGCCTGTGAGGTTCACTTTGCTTTTAGATTTTTAGAGGGTGTTTCATTTTCCTCCAGAAAAAAAAATCTTTTTAGATTATAGAACTATGTAACAGATAAAAGTGAAATACCTTGGAATATCACCCCCAAAATAAGTTTTGGTTAACTGGTAATCATTTTCAATTTTGAAATTTTGAATTCTGAAAATGTCTCCAGAAATTTGAAGTTTGAACTTTTCTTCATTCCTTAAAATCTCACCCTGCCTTTTTAGACACAATTGTCAACAATGTGTTTCTGGCATTTTATATATATTCTTTTGTTTTCTTTGCCATTTCGAATATACATGGCAAAAAGTGTGCCAGTGTGATCTGTAGAGGTGTTTCTGTTCTGGCAGGCCAGTGGTTTTCATCTTTTCAACAATTACTACTACTTTTTCTGTTCATTTTCTACCTGTTTTTATAAAATCAGAGTTTATCAACAAGGAAGGTCTGACTATAGGGGAGACACTCTAGATCTGGCCTTGTATTTATGGTTTTCCCATATGAGTTGTCTCTTCAATGAAGGAGCTGGGAACAAGGCTTATCAAGGGTGTTTCCTCAGCAGCTCCAGCCAGAAATACAGCCTGGCAAACCATCTTCCAACCATATTGGGAGCAGTCTGGTGGCTGAAGTCCATGGTCCCAAAGAATCTGTATACTGAAGGCTCAAATGAAAGAATTCTTCAGTTGTATCATGAGGATTCAGTGTTTTAATATAGAAACCGAACGCTTAACTGATTAGGCAAAGATCATCAGCGGATGCCAAAATCTTTAGTAAAAGGCTGCTGAATAACAGAATTCGTACAGTACTCGAAATGTTGCTTTATAGATGACTTGCAAAGGGAAAAAAATTAACCCAGACAATGGACTAATGTCTGTCACTAGATCAAACCTAACCACTAGTGGGACAACCTTATACATTTTTCCTGATGAGATAAAGAATACAACAGCACGTAGGCAAAAAATGTTAGCCTGAATCTAGACTTAATTTCCACCTGACAGGAAATATCGGAGTAGAGGAACAAATTAAACATTAAGAGGAAACAAGTACAGAATGTGGGTCATTCTAGAACTTGAAGTGCAAAGTAACAATTCTCGTGACATTTGGAAATTTGAAAATGGAATAGGTGATAATGGAATTATTTTCTTAGGTATGATAATGTTCTTATGTAGGACAGTGTCCTTATTCTCAGAATATTAGGGATGCTTCCACAAAATATACAGGAAGAAAAAAGCAAAAATTAACATTTAGGTTGAGCCTATATACATTGTTTATTGTACTAGCCAACAGAAAACTTTTATAATTAAAGTGGAGGTATATATATGTGTATATATATGGTGTCTATTTTCCTTTTGTGCCTATGTAACTTTTTCAAGTTTTGTATTGACTATATGATTGAAGTCAGGCAATAAAGATTATTAAAAGTATAATTTGGCATGAGAAAGTGTTACAGTGATTCCTGGATCCAACATTGATGAAGTCAGCTTTACTCATTCTTGTTGCTAGGCTGTGACTTAGGAAGAATTCTCTTTCATTTGAGCCTTCAGAGAATTAAGACAGCCAAGTTATTTCCAGTAGATTAATTATAAGCTTCCAGAAATGATTTGGTTCACCTGTTCCCCAAAATTGCCCATTGATGGCACACATGTCTGAAGTGGACTTGCCTATGGGATGGGCAAATTTAAGCCTCCCACTAGCCCTTTTTAATGTATAGAAAGTGAAAACAAAAGTAAAAAATCAGGAGAAAAATGTTTGTAGGTGTTTCTAGTTATTGGGACTTGTAGAGGTGGCAGAAGCCTATTTGCATGCAGCAGCAGTGCTCCTGAGGTCTGGAATCTCCTTTGACCATTTTGTAGGAGGATATATTTAGAGAAGTATTTTTATAGACACTTTCATACTGGGAATACACTGCATTCTGCACACAAGGACCCTCCTGTATCTAATTTAAAATCCAGCCAAAAGCTTACTTGGGAAATGTTTGAACTGCTCTCACCGAATCAACTAAGTTTTGAACTATAGGACTATGATGCTGCTGTGCACTTTGGTTGTATTTTGAAGACAATTATCTCTTGATAAAATATTTCCGGAAGTTTTGCTGAAAGACTGAGCAAAAATTGTACTAAAATGTACAGTGTGCCAAGAATGTCCTCAGGCTTTACTTTAGAAATCTTCAACAATGTATTTGGTTTTCAGGAGATCAATCAGTCAATCTTTAGAAAAATGTGAGCGTTGTGCGTACTATGCCACTCATTCTATAAACATCCCTACTCTGCACTGCACTGTGCTGCACTTCTTGGGAAATCTTGCCAACTTTGCCAGCCTAGATGGGAACCTTTGAAAGCCTTAAGACATTAGGGCTGGTGTGCAAGGAAACCCAACTTCTCATCTCACGGCAGCAATAGGTGGTGAGATGGGGATCTGAGGACTCACATCCTGTGTGCTGCCAAGCTTCCCAGTTGGTCTCAGTGGTAGCTTCCGGCATCACAAACTCATCAACACCAACCTGCAGCTCAAAAATGTGTTACCCAAACTAGGAATCTGGGCATCCCCAAATAGCTCTTTCCCCATAATGCTGCAGACTGGCTGAGGTCTTCCTCATACAAAGTTTGTCATAAATTCCCATTCCTGAGGGCAAGATCAGGTCTTAAGGGCAAGAAAGTGAAGATCCTTTCAAGATGGCCACTTGCTCCCTGGTGAACCCTAATTCTTACATCAGGGAACCAAGCTGTCCACGGCTTCAGCTGTCAATGCTTTGAAACTTCTGTGCCCTCAGAGAGACCTAAGAGGATACCCGGACCAAGGAAAGTTGGTGGACCCAATCTGGTTGAAAGAGCTAGGCTGCAGAGGAGAGGAGATGGAAAAATCCCCTTGGGCACAACTTCCAGTAGACGGCCTCCCAGTGGATCAGACAGAACATACATCCTGGGCCTGGTGCTGTTTGTGTATGGGATGACCAGCCCCCAGGATTTGAGCTGGCAGAGGTACAAAATGTGCTTCAGGGGAAAGATTCCTG